GAGCGGTTCTGAGAGTCTCCCGGCGATTGCTTGTGGCCGGTATTTCCGGCTGATTCTACTTTCGTGCTGCTACCGGCTGTTTGCGTAAACGTGTTGCATATTATGGGTGGGACGCATTGTCGCGCTCGGCACACGTGCCTAATTGGTCGGGACAGGGCCCGAGAAAGAGGAAGCTAACTAAAAACTAATTCCTTCCATACGCGCCCAGTACCAGGCATCTTCCCTCATTCCCGCGCCCTCCCGATGCCGGGACAGCATCTTCGGGGAAGCGCCGGATATAGAGGCGCCATCCGCAATTACCATCGGTGGAAATTTAATTTGACTCGACTGCCTCTGTCTCAACACCCAAGGCGCAATCCTAGGGTATTCGCGAACGGCGCCTGCCATTGTGCGAACGCCATTGACTCGATTCATGGGTTATTGTGCGAACTTGACGTCAAAAACGATTTCGCGGTCGACGTAAATATATCTCAATAAAATTCTATCATTTTATATAAAACGACAGAAATTCTCTTTATTTCGATATTCGACGTAAATGTTAAATTTAATGGATTTACCTATACTTATAGAAAAAGCATTTTTAATAATTGTAGAAAATTTTGTAAATTATCACACACATAATCAATTTTAAAATTGATCTTACCTTTCTGCTTATAACCAAATATCAGATCGATCCATTGATGTAATTGACAAGATACAAATTCGGACTCGAGTGCCTAAAGAAAATGCGGTTTAATGTGAGACGTATTGTAAAAAATATATTTAGATATTATTTTGAACTCATCTTAATCTTAATATAAACTTTAAAAAAGAATTCCATACCATTCGATTTATACGTATAAATTCTTCGGGAGATGAAGCCCAAGGTGGTAATTCAACATCGCCGACCGCGCTACCATCCTCCTGCCTGCCCAAACGATAGCGATTGCTATTCACCAGCATTTCCGGCAGAAAGAAGAATTCCGGAATTAACTCCTGTTAATGAGAAGACGAATTTATAACTCCGCCAATAAATCTCCGGTATATCTCCAGTATAGCGATTCAGTACGATCGAAAATTTATGCAATGAGGATAACAATGGAGACGTGACTAAACGCACCGAGGCGTGGCTAAATGTAAATTCTACGAGTATCTTAATTAAATGCAACGAACCTTGACGTCGGACGTATCACGCTGGCAGTTCTTCCATGAGAGTGCGATAGACGAAAAAAGCCTATTAGGGTGATCGAATTTGCCGCCTTGTAACGCTAAGAACATAGTTGTCATCGGTTCCTGCGTGTAAAGAATAATTTATTTACAAACAGAGCAAGAACATTTTAGAGAGACTAAATCGCGCGAGTCTCTCGCAACGTGTATCGAGCACATAAATCCCGCAGAACGTCAATAACGATAAACGTAGAAGCATAAAGTGCGATAGGGGCGTAGAAAAGGCGGTTCTAAACCGCCACTTAGAGATACTTTGTAGGCCTTTTGTGTGCATAGGCTTTTGCGGATGGCCTTCTCGTTCTCGGTCAGTCATCCGTTCCGTTGACAGGGCGAATAAACGCTAGTGAGAGGCCACACACATAATCGATGCACTTTCATGTTGCGGCACGAATGCGGGAGCATAAAACAGATTTTTGTAACTTAATGGGAACGGTCCGTGTTACATACCAAGCCTAAAACTATTCCTTTATGGTAAGATCCCGAGATATACTGCTGTAACAAGACAGTTAACGTATCTGGTCGGCGTACAAATGACAGAGTGACAAAGACAGGAGTTATAGATAAATAAATTGTTTATGATGCAATATTTTAACATGCCAGTACACCGGAACATTGATTAGCAAATAAATAAGTAGGTATATTATATACCTAAAATGCATTTAAATATACAATAATGTAAATACAAACATATTTGAACGTGTTATTTATATATGTATAAAGCCGATCAAATATAAATCCAACAGCAATATGATCATAGGAATTATTGGTAATAATTGATAAATTGACGGTGTATGAAACCATAATTGAAAATGACAATTGATAATTTATATACGGCGAAATAACATTGTTGCACAACGTACGCTATTTTAGAAAGGACAAAGGAAGATGAAGACGTTTTTCAGTTATGTCCTGAACTTTAAGTGAACGAGGAAATGCAGCAGAAAACAAATGTGTATATTTAACGAGAAGGCGGGCGTCGTTGGCACGAGAGCGTTTCGACGACCCTAAATTAGTGTGCACGCAGTACTAAAAGTGTCGCTTAAATTTATGGTGCAGACTGGACACGCTTCGTAAGTGGAAAGACCAAAAATCAGCGATTGAAAGTTAATTATACGTCCATTACATAAATAAAGATCCAATTTTATATCGTTAAATTAAACTTTAATTTAGCATTTATAAAAAAAAAACTGACATAAAAGTGTTAATCAGAAAGTATTTTCATTTAATGAGCATTATTTTAATAGATGTGAATAAATTTATATCATATTATTATCGTTTAAATATTTGAATGATAATTGTACAAATATGCTATCTGTTTTGCATAGATATAAATGAACGAAACAAAGTTAAGTTTTGTCGAACCCCACATATATAACTTTCATCAAATAAAATACTCACCACACGTATCATCCAATTTAAAACAAAGGCCGCCGTAGAGTAATGCGTGCCATAATGGAAAGGTGGTATAGTGTCATGTTCCCAGCCTTGAAAACGCTCCTCGAAATAAGCTCTCCTGTTTGGATTCAATGCACCAATCGGCTGTAAAAAACGTAAATATTCTTGCATCAAATCTTGCCGCAATATTTTAGGCATTCATATATTGTGCTTGCTTTTCATGTGTATGAAAAGAATAAAATTGATAGAATATCTTTTTCATTGTCATATGCAAATTTGCGAAGAGTTATACCTTTGATAAATCTCGATAATTGCTCGGTAAGCTGAGATCAAGTTCCTTCGTTTCGTAGTTTGTTAACACCCAAGGAAATACAGGATACTGATTCAAGTCATTGTAGGTGCGACCTGAAAAGATACAAGCGTATTTGCTTTAAAATTAAGAGCAAAATATTATTTCTTCAATTGCATCATCAATTTGTTTCGCATTGTCGATAAACATTGATGCAGAAAAATGCAAGATTCTTTTCAACACTTCAACGAAGCTAGAGTAACATATGTGCTTTTTCTTCTCATACAATTTAAATCATCGCTTGTCAGCATCCCAGGCAAAAAATCGGAAAGTCATAGGACAGGGTAGCAAGAGTGCTTAAATTAAATTCCTCATATTGCTAAGAATAGAAGAGAAGATTGCGCGCATTCAACTTTTAATACTGATAATCGCCGGCCTATTTTTTTCTTCGACTCGACCCTGCGTCTCAACCACGGTCACTCTTCATTCCGCGCAACCCCCGCCGTTAACTAAGGGCGATGAGAGCGGCCACGTGATCGTAATTCTATTTTTAAGAAAAACGCGCCGTGCAGCTCAATGGGGCGCGGCGCGCCGTTTAGTAAGCGCATAACTCAGAGCGTGACGGCTAATCGCTCCTGAAATTGTCACTCCCAGAGGTCTCACTCGTGCTCGATTTCCCTCCCGAGCTCCACGGAATCCCATCCCGAGGTGCATTAGTGACGGCAACGCCGGTCCCAAGACTGAGTTCTAATCTCTTTCC